TAAAGTTTGGCAAAACTTATCATTAACTCCCTGTGTGTGAAAAAATGTCCTTAATGTTTTGAACAAATAAAATTAGTTATTTTTTTATAAACTACTAATAATAGTTTTGACAATATTATAAAAGTTTGTACATAGAATAATTCGAACAAAAACAAATTAATATTAATACAAAATAACTTATTCCAACTATTAGTGACATGAAAAACAGTTATTATAAACGATTGTGAGTTGGTTTGAATTATTGGTTTCCACCTCGCTATTTTCTTTTTTAGTGTTATCTTCTGGTTTATTTGGATCAGGATGAAACTGACTGGTATTAGGTATAGTCTCTCTCTCACTTCTCAATAATATTCCAGTGTGAATAAGGCTTGATTGATTGACTGTTGCCCTGTAATTTTAATAAGTTGTTATCCTCCAATCTCCTTTTTGGTCAAGATTGAGACAGCAGCCGCTATTGCAGAATGATTGGTTATGTCCAGAAGCTTAAACCAAAAAGATTGGCATACTTCCCAACTGGACAGTTTTGTACCATCCTCTCGTGTTTATTCCCCTCCAGACTGGTTTTGGAGTTAAAAGCAATTTCACCTAATGAGAGGATATATTTGAGGATTATCTGAATTTGTAACTAACCATGTGCTGGTCTTTTGGAACCACAATGGAGACAAAGATACAATGCGAGTAGAAAAATTTTTTCCTCTACATGTTAATTCATGTGAATCAGTGTAAAAAATATCTATTTTATGTCTTTCCACGGTAAAACTCAATGAACTCTTTCTATTATTTTAGACTTTTTGGCATTAACATTTGAATTCCTGATCCTAGTTTACTGAAACGACACATTTGACGGTACTACACAACAATTTCAATAAAAATCCACGTTGACTATTAACAATTGACAATTAACGTCAACGTGACAGCAATAACAAATCATCACTGCTGGCATTTATTTGCAATTTGATTTCAATGATTTGACTTCAAAATGTCAGGTTAGGTTTTCAAATATAATCAATTTTATCGTCTCTGACTCGAAAAAATTTTCAAAATATGTGCGACCTCGAAAAGTTTAATGTAATTTGAGCTAAAGTTAAAAGTGAATATAAATCGCTTTTGTCACTATTCTTCATCCACTGTTTGTCTGAAAGGTGACGCCACTGGTTCTACAAGTAACTAGCCAACTTCAATATTAATGTGTCTTTTAAGAATGAAACGAATAATATATTTTTCAATTCATTGAACATATGTAAAAATATCCTTGGAAATTTATAAGTTGCATCGCATAGAATGGCTGGATATATGTTCAGTGTATAAAAGTTGGAACTGCATTTTAAGTTTCTTGATCTTAATATCTTTGTTTTCAAGCTTAAGAGTTCCTTCAACTTATTATTACTTTTCGTGCTACGGAAATCTAGGAAAATTTTGCAGATGTGGAAATACCAAATATACTTTCATGCAAAGTGAAATAAAGTAAAATTGAATTTAAGACTAAGATATTTTGTTACTATGAGATTGTGAAACTTTACGTTGTTGAAAATGTACTTCTGCTCTTCTCTTCATGTTATATAAAAACTTTTTTTGATATAACAGAAAGATTCCGACATAAGACAACTGTAACACGAACTATACTACCTTGGGGATCCGAAAAAGGTTCACTGAAAGTAGAAACTCCTCGGGGAAAACAAAATATTATTTATCGAATGAAAATACTCTGAGGAGTATCGAAATAATTTGGTAGAAGACAAGAAGCAGCAAATAGAGAACACAACTAACACTATAAAAAACCAGACAATTTTCTTTAAACTTCTTCGAGGCTAACCTGATTAAGCAGCTTTGATACTCGATCTGATAAATTCGATGCATTGTGTGGAACTACAAAAAAGCAGCGCAACAATCGAATAAACGTCTAGACCGTTTTTCTTTGCAGCCCCTTATTATTGTATTATGAACTTGTTACTTTCTCATGGCAGCCGTCAGTACATATTAGTAACTACCTACCTACCAGTTCTGTCGGATATCAAGGATTGTTAATAGATAAATGAACTGGGAAAAGTTTACAGAAAGGAGAAACTCAATATGACGTATAGTCGTTCAATTGTTTGTTTTATCTATACAAAAAAGTGTACCTATCAAATAAGCGAGTATACAATTTTTCTTTTACTTATATTTTAAAGTAAAATAGATAAATGAGTTCTTGATAAGATTGAATTTACCTATGAATTGAAACTTTAAAAAACTGTCTAAAAATTCGATATACCTACGGTCGATATTTTACGCATTATATCAGTCTGGAAATATATTTACACACGCAAAAGAGGCTAATACACTCAATCCCGAACTCATAAACCGTAAGCTCAAAAACCCTAAGCCCATAAACCTATAAGGTTTAATCTAACCTCAAATATGTCGAAAAATCGCGATTTTGGCACTTTTAGGTTAGGATATCTCGAAAAACAGAGCCAGTTGAGAAATTTAGACCTTGGATTTGAATTAAATGCACCAAGATCCTTTGGGAAAGTATATTCGTGTTGATGGCTTAAAATCTTGTCGGCTTATGCATAAAGAAAAATCAGAAGTTATAATCTATTACCTGTTCTTTATTAGACAACTAAAAAATAATAAATTGCGCTCAAATTCAAACAAGTAACTTCGTAGTTCAGTACTAATGAAAAAGGACCCACAAAAAACGTAATTCCATTTTAACTAAATCTCGTTAATAACACATATATCTCTTTTAAAAACCCTGGTTATCGTGTTTGCCAGTCGTAGAAAATTTCTGTAATAACAAATGAGGTAGGAACTCATTAAGTAAGTGGTTTATTTAATTAATCCTTGCTCTGGTGAAGTATTATAGCCATTATGATATAAATTTGACCCCTAAATTATCCCGAGTGCGGTTAATATGTCTCCATATATGTGGTAATAAAATGATATTAAGCTAACACAAATAAATTCAAAACATTTTCCTGAAAATCCTATCAAATGACGCCAAACAATGATAGAATTTTTAGGATTTTTTTTTGGATTTGTTTGAGTCAATAATAATGTAATATTTATCCACATGTACAATAATTTATAGTAACATAAAAAAAAGAAAATTGTAAACAAACAACAGAAAACAAACAAGAAACTCGCAAAATACTTTTAAAAAACCTATAAAATAGAGCATACAGGTAGAAGATGTTGGAAACGTTTTTTAGACGCATAGCGATTGAATTTTATTTTTTTTTACATTATAGGCAAAGTAACTGAAAAAAAATCTGTGAAAAATACAGGGTGATTCGCAACTTATCTAAAACAATTTGGGAATAGATGCGTCATAAAAAATGGAGTCAATACCGTAAAAATTGTAAGGTCCTTATACTTTTCGAGAAACAAATGATTAAAGTTATCGTATTTTCTACCCTTACACCACTAGGCTACTGTAGTCTCTAGCGTCATTCGCATTGTGCACATTGTGCTCTCTTTCCACGTGGTCCCACGTGATGCCGAATATTGAAATCCGATTTTAGTATTAAATGATTTTGTGATAGTGTTTACATTAGTTTTTCAAGTTTCAAAAATGGCTTACGTGCATAGCATGAGTTGATGGATATCGTTTTAATTTATGGTGAAGTAAGGCACCATTTGTGTTATGGTGAAGCAAGACAACATTTGTGTTATAAGGTGAAGCAAGGCAACATTTGTGTTAGTTCGTAGAAACTGGGTAAGACGGGGGACAAGTCGGTGAACAAAATTTTGAACAAGGGATACGCCAAATTGTTTTATTAATTAAAACCACAAATTAATTTTATTTTAATTTTATTAATAGGTGTTATAAAATTTTATTTATTTGAAAGAAATTCTTTCAATTTTTTTTCAGTTTTTTGCCGCCATGTCGGTCGCCGACTGCATGCTTTGCCTTGCGCAAGGACTAGTTTCCAGTGCCGTGCAGAAGTGTATTTTTAAATCAATTTCGAACTGTTCTTTTTATTTTTTTGCAAAATTGTATTTGTAAGAGTCCCCTGTACATTAAAAAAAATTTTTTTTTGATAAATTCTTAATCACCCTTAGGTAAGTGTGATGTTAAATATATTGATTCAATTAATATTTTTCTATTGCATTTATTTATTTATTTACCTTTCACAAGTATATCATTTATGATTACATGGATGAATTATAATAATAATAATAATAATTTATTTATTCACACAAACAATTTATACATAATAAAATACAGCAGTAAGAACAATAGTGAATAAATAAGTAGACAATAAGTGACTAAACACTTGTTTTGTACAACAAAACTAATAATAAAATATGTTAAATGAAACAACTTAGTAAATAAAAACGAAATTGAATAAAAAGCTACAATTAATTACGCCTCTAAAAACTTATCTAACTGTCTCCAATATCCACTTTTTCAATCTAAATTTAAAATTGTAGAATGTAGGTACAACCTGTTTAACAAGAAGTTAAATAGTAGTAGTAGTAGTAGTAGTAGTAAGTAGGTAAATGGTTTTATTTCAATTTAGTATAAGTTTATTGTATTTTTTGTTGTAGTTGTTACCAGTGTCACTAACAAAAGTATCATCATCAGTAAAACTAATAATATTACCGACGATATCCACTCTAAACAATTATCCAAAAATAAAATAAATGACGGTGGCCCCAATTCAGATCACTGTGGAACACCAAAATATACGTTAATTGAATTGCCAAGTATTCCATTTATTTCCATCCTTTGTGTTCTGTTGTTTAGATAACTAATTTGAAACATACACAAATTACTTATTAATTTTTTTATGCCACATAGTGTCGAAGACTTTCAAGCTTGAAAAAATATTTATGATTCGTTTTTTTTTCTAATGATTTTAACTTTTAAACGTCATCAGAAAATATGAAATGAGTTTATCAAAAGAAATATCTTTCATATTTCTCTGTACGCGTAGATTTCGCGATACCGCCAATTCCCTTATCGTAATCGATGCACGAATTTACCCGTAATAACCCCGGAATTGACTCACCGAGTAAGTAGTCCACTTGGTTGGGGTTGACTTTATCGAGCTGTCCCTTGTTCCAGACGTATTCCGCTTTAAGACCGCGCTTTTTCTTATCTCTAGCCCAGTCGTCGATTAGATTGCGGCCGTCGAGGCGCCGGCCTTCTTCCTTCGTCTGCTCGGGGTCGTGGGCCACCTTCGGCAGCCAGTGGCGACGGCCACCACCCAACAGAACCTGCAACAAAAGAGTATATGTTGAAATGCTTCTACAGTGAAAACAGTCTAATGGAAAAATTGATCACAAAAAATGCTTAGCAAATATTTGTATTCTCAATATTTTCCATTTAATTTACTGGAAAAAAACTTTTTTTAACTTTTATAGATTTGACTGGATAATTAAATAGTTGGTGTGGTGGTATAAAGTAAATATTATTTAACTTTATTTATTTTCGTCATATTTTTATGAAGTAGTATTTACAAAAACCTGAAATTACTTTAGCGTCTACAGTAATTTTTCAGTGATACATTATCGTAAATGTCTTATCAGATGTCAGTGACTAGTTTTTTCGTTTGTGCATTCAGATATCGACATATTCATTTGTGTTTATTCCAAGTTTTTGTTCATAATTATTTCATTTTGCCTAAATAATAATTTTTTTTTTCAGCTCTGTAAAGCAAGGAAAAATAAGATGAGGATAATGAATTTACTAATAATATTTTATTTACTAACGAATAGATGGTATTACAGCATGGCAACTTGATTAATTACAGAAAGAATTGTCAAAAATTTGATGTTTAATAACATATTAATAGCGATTTCGCTTACATTTATCAGCTTGATTAAAGAGTACATATTTTTTCTGATATTATTTCTCTTGTCAATAATGTTTAAATTTCTGTGATGTCTAACAAGAGAAAAAAGTTATGAACAAAACAAATTTAGAGTTCTAGGTTAAGTGCCCTCTAGCGGCTCATAATGAAACTTTTCTCTGACTGCTCCAATAGAGCTTCATCTACTTAGTGGATGTGGCCAAATGTGCCACTAATCGAACTTGAATTAAATAAGTTATTTAAATAGAAAAATAAAAAAATTTAACTTTGACAAGCTGTAACTTGCAAACAATTAATTGACAATTCGAAAAAAAATACAATTATTATTCACTAGTTAAAGAAAAAAAATTTTTCTCAGTAGTTTAAGTTCTTTGAAAGACAGCCTCTCTTTTATAAAAATGTTTTATTTTTAGTAAAATAAAATTTTGCAAAATATTAGCAAAATTAAAGTATAACAGTTTATTAAGAAAATTTACTATATTTAGTTTATATCTCGAAACAGTCTAAGAAGTCCTTTTCAGTATCTCCTTCAATGCTTTCGTCAATCCGGCTTTTATTTTCTCGATGGAGTCGAAACGGTGTTCACGGATGGTCTTTTGAGTTTAGGGCATAGCCAGAAGTCATTCGGTGTTAAATCAAGCGAATACGGTGGTTGCAGAACGATATGAGTTGAATTTTTGGCGAAATGGTTTCAAATTATTAATGCTGTGTAAGCCAGTGCATTATTATCATGACGCAAAAACCAAGAGTTGTCTATCCATAATTCCGGCCTGTTGCGATGAATGGCATCACGCAAACGATGCATAACACTCAAATAATATCCCTTGTTAACAGTTTGGTCGGTTAGAAGAAATTCATAGTTCACTACGTCACGAATCAAAGAAAACCGTCAACATGACCTTGATTTTTTGACCTTGACATTGACCTTTGAGTGACTGTCGTGTTTTTTCGGTCTTGGTTCACCTTTTCAACGATATTCACTAGATTGATCGGCTGTTTCTGGGTCGTAAGCGTCGTTCCAAGTCTCGTCTCAAGTAATGATGCGTTTCATGACGTCTTGGTAGTCAGAAATCATTGTTTCACAGATGTCAACGCGACACTGTTTTTCCAAAAGGTTGAACGTTTTTGGAACCAAACGAAATTTGATTTTGCGTCTACATCACAACAAATCTTTTAAAATGGTATTTACCGAACTTTTTGAAATGCAAGCAGTATCAACAAGGTCTCTTATTGTTAATCGACGGTTTTCGAGCAGAAGATCTTTGATTTGATTAACGTGTTGTTCATCAGTTGACGTTGATTGTCGTCCGGAACGCTGTTCGTCCTTAACGCTTTCTCTGCCTTCTTTAAAGTCTTTGTACCACTTGTAAAGATTTTTTTGCAACATAACCTTATCATTAAGGGCCTTCTGTAATATCCTCGACATCTCCGCGGTAGAATATTCATTCCGCAAACAAAATTTAATGCAAATTCTTTGCTCAACAAAATCAGGCATAATGAAAATCGATAAACTACGAGTAGCTCTGGAGCAATTGAATATATTGACTTGCAACTCTATATAGATATCAAGTACAGTACTACCAACCTACAAAAAATAATTGTATGCTTTCATAATGTCCGCGAATTTTAAATTAAGTAATTCACCTTATTTTTTGGAATATGTCAATTTAAATGCACCAACTTACAATTATTTTATTTTTGCTCGTTCGGTTGCACGTCAACGTTATGAATTTTTTCATATGGAAATAGGTATTGCTAGCCATTACCTGTACACGTATCCATTTTTTATTTTATTTCCTCTCGTTTATTCGCACTATTTTTCATTTCCTACAGAAACGGGGACGCGTATGTAAGCAAATTAAAGCGACGTCGCTCCATTTCTCATTCCCACCGCAACTTTTTAGAACGCGGAGTTTTATTGTGGTATTTGGCGATATTTCATAATACATTGTGCATACATTTCCAAGTGAAATGCGGCGTCCTTTGTGCGGGGTTAATGGAACTCCAGATAGATGCCCTGGCGCTCTCGGCTTAGGTGGCATAAATCCGTTTTATCCTCACTATTTGAGACGGCACAAATAAGAATCACAGAACACCTTCAAGGCATCTAGGTGTCCTAGTAAATAGTCACATAAATAATGGAGACGTAATGTGAAATTTTTCCACTTTGCAGAAGTCATACATTTCCTCAGTCAGTGTTTTAGAAAATGACCTACAGTTCCGCTTTCATTAATGGTTAACGCATATTTTTTTTAAATATAAGAGTAATATTTTGTAGATCAAAATAAGAATATCTAAATAGTTCTTTTCATACTTATAGTAAACATAAAAAATGCAACACAATTTTTAAGTGTCCGTAGAAAATAAATGTTATAACAGCTAATTTATTTCACAAATCATAATGCTCTTATCAGATACACTCATCTAGATAAATTTAATAAAAAATTAATGAGAATTAGAGTGATATTAATCAATAATTATTACATATCTTGTCAGGTATTCAATTTAAAGGTTGCTCCGCTTTACCCTAGCTGGACGGGATTCGCCAGACGTGGGTCCTGTGTTGCCGAAATGTAAAAATATTCCCTAAATGAATATTTGCTAATTACGAACACCATATTTGCATACTTTAAATTTGAATAAGTTCTTGGCATTTTGTAAGACTAATCGTATAAACGGTCATCAAATCTTAAACTAACGCAACATAAAATGACACTGACAAATTCTACATTCTACATTTTACTTGAAACAAGACATAGCTACTCTGATTTCATATTTTTAAAATTTGTACACTGAAAGAAATGGGCTTATTAAACTGTATATCTAGAATAATGTGTATAGCGCATATTAAAACTTTTATAACCAATATACAACTTTTATTTAAAAAAAGCAATCATCTCCATACTCATTATTCAATCAGTTTAACTGGAAGGTGCTTAATACACCTTATGCATCTATGAAATAAAGGTTATAATGAATTACTTATACATTATTAGGTGTTATAGACTTTATATTCCAATTGTATAGTAGGGAAGATTTGTTGTATAAAGACCAGTATCCGAATTTGTATATAACAATTGTATTAACAGAATTATTCGTTCTTATACTGAATATGTTTCCGTTTTTAACGTGTAAAACGCATCTTATAATGGTTAAGTGATCGTCACCTCTCGGTGCATAATCGGTTATGATCGTTGTTAAGTTATATTCATAGTCTTGTAATAATAATCATATGTCAGACCCGAGAGCGAAGTGCGCCGACTCAATAAGAAACCTGGCTATTCCAGCCGCTGATTTAGGGTTCGCCGCACGAGCTCATCCCTTCTAAGATTTCAGTAGCATGCTATGCATGAAGCAGAACGGTACTCAACTATCTTATACAGTCCACTTTTATTGTCCATACATGTTCAATCATTGTCAAAATAAACACACAAAACCACAACGTCTTTATTATCTTTACTCAAGAAGAGAAAATACAACAATCGTAAAATTTCCGACAGTCCGCTGTGCATCGACTTACACACGTCTAGTTTGATGAAAATGGACAGTATATGCACATGTTTTGTGGGATACATGATCATATCGCGTTGTGTGAAATGGAAAATTATTATGTAAGTATCTAACTGTTTTATGGCTTGTAATTGTTTTGTTTTTTCAAATGTAAATCTTGTCTAAATCTTAAAAATTATTATTTTGTAGGTCCTATTAGAAATCGCTGATGTTAAGTTTTACATAAGATGGAGGAACAGAAGGTTAACGGTGACAAAGAAGAGCATGGGTATAAAGTCAATCAACCAGAGGAAATAAAATTATATGGAAAGAAGCTCAACCTTTCTGGGGATGCTTCATTCTTAAGGTGGAAGAGTTATAGTGCAAATTCTCATGTAATACAAGAAAATACGGGTGCATCGTTGCTAAGAAAATAAACTGGACAGTTTTGGGAGCGATTTGTCATCATTTTTAATGCTTAAAAGTATGTTTTATGTATGTTTACATTAGAACCTTAGCTTGTAATTACAGTTATCCAATAAAATTTCTGAAAACTTAATGACATATGTTTTTAACTCATACAGAGTATACAACAGTTTAATACATTTATTATTATAAAACTTATAACCAGTACTAGATGTTCTAATAACGATATGGAACACTTTAATAACAGTTATTGCTATTATTTCGTAAAGGGTATAAAAAACGTTGTATACTAGTTATACAATAATTTAATAAAGAATAAGGTTTATATTCACTATACAACTGTGCTAGCAATACGCGTTTTATATCCAATATTCACCTGTTTAACTGTCACATATAGTATACAATTGTCTTAATGGTATATAGAATTCTAATAAAGAATAAAATGCATTTCTTTCAGTGTAATTACGCTATAGCTTGAAAAAAAAAATG